CTTGATGCAATTTGTTCGTTCACCAACCCTGAATTTTTTTAATGAAGTTAAACGTTTTAGGTCTTCTCCATTTTGAAGATATAAAGACTTAATCCTATTAGTACAAGCTTTAAAACTAGTAGATGAATTCAGTGAATTAGATGAGGTACTAACAGAGAATAAACTTGACAAAGAAGATGAATTAGTAGAAAAAGATGAGCAATCAAATTATGAAACAGATAATGATAAAATTATAGAGGTATTTCAAGAGTATGAAGATGAGAAAGATATTATTAATAATGCTATTGAAGAGTCTTGTGAGCTATAGGAAATGGTCAACAGTTGTATTACTGAAAAGCTTCAAAAATAGATTAATCTGCTAAAAAGTCAAGAACAATTTAAAGATACCTGATTTTTATTAGTAGCAGAAGACGCGATGAGTGGAATAGAAAAAATGATGACAAAATATGAAAATATAAAGAATAAAAAAACCTTACTGAGAACATGAAAAGATTACAACAAGCAAACTATATTTTACAGATCTAACGATTTATTTTGAAAAAGAATATGGTAAGTATAATTATTTTAGAACGAATCTGGTTTTAAGATAGAAATAAATTTATTTTAATTAAATTAGAATTACTTAGCTTAAAATATATATGCTTAAAATTTTATAATGATATTACAATTGAGAATATTCAGTTATCAGTTTTTAATAAAGAAAATGTTAGATTAGTTGTAAATTTAATAATGTAAAACTTAAAATATCAATCTTTATTATAAATGTTTTTAAAAATATAAAATAAGTTCTGGTAACAAATATTGAATAGTGTGGTAATAATAAATAATGAAAGATATACAGGTTATTCTAAAAAAAGCAAACTTCACATTTTAAATTGTAGCTTCAGAATTTAGTTTTTGAAATCTCATAACAAAAGCAAAAAATAGATCTCGATCAGTTAATGATTGCAATAGCAATAAACAATTATTAGACTTTTTTATATTATACAGAGATACAAGGATAATCATCACGTGCGAGTCGATCAGATTGTTAATAATAGAAATAGTGATAGACAATAATAACTTTTTTATATTATACAGATATACAAGGATGATTATCATATGCAGGAAAAAAATCTTGAAGGTGAGGTATACAATTTTTAATCAACTTAAATCTTTCTCTGAAGCAACTAATAATTTGCAGAATAAATCTATGAATTTAGATAATATTTGTGCATATTTCGATTTTTTACTTGAAAAATATCCATAATTAAATAATCGATTAGAACAAGATGCACCAATTATTCATAATGTTCTTTTGAAGAGGCTGTAATCAAAGTATTATGCAAGCAAGAAGCTGTATTAACATTTACTAAGAAACAAAAACTTCAGATATTTACTGTTAAACATGATATACAATCGATAGCAAAAGAAGAATCTATGACCATGAAAGAATGAGTTTTAAAAAAATGCAGGCTAGAAGAATCAAAATTTATGGATATGAAAATTGTATCTCCCACATCTAATGCAGGAGAGCATTTGTTCTCAATTGTCAAATACTACTATATGGATTGGAGAAAATCTCTTGATCTGCATACTTTGAAAAATCTTTTGCTACTCAGAATAAATGATAAAATGTGGACAATTCAAGATATCAATCAAATTAAGTAAAATTAAACTTTAATAATATTGTATTGCAAAGTACCATAATTATAATTTATATGAGATAAGGTTAGCTATGTATACAAGTATAAACTTGTTTTTTTTAATAATATTGTATTGCAAAGTACTATAATTATAATTTATATGAGATAAGGTTAGCTATGTATACAAGTATAAACTTGTTTTTTTTAAAAAAAAAAATAGGGCTCAGAATTTGTAATCATTAATTATATAAATAATATTGCAAAGTATTAGATTAAGATTTCTAAATTTGGTTTATATGTACAGGTTATTAATTGTTTAAGAACTCTTGCATAAGTATAACATGTTTATTTCTAGTTTAGCACGACTGTATCATGCAGCTATTTAACAATTACAGTTACATCACCATGTGTCAAATCAATTGTTTAAAATATAATTTATACAATTTTTTACTATATATTTAAAAATTGGTATATATTGTATGTAACTCTCTATGTGGTACATATAATAAAGAAAATTGATTTTAATTGCAATTAATTAGAAATATTATAATAAAAGAAAATTGATTTTAATTGCAATTAATTGAAAATATTTCATTATTAATTGGGTTTTAATTAATTTTATGATAATTTTAATTGATTTTAATTATATAACGTATAGCAAAATTTAATTTTAATTGATTTTTCGGTAGGCCTGATATTGATACAAAGAAAGAACTACCTCTATTAGTTTTTGTGCTTACAGATATTGCAGCATTTAATATAAATAGTTATACAATTCATTTAACACTCTTCTTCCCTTCAAAATTTAAAAATTTAGAATTCAAAGCTGAGTCTTTAAAAAAATTTTAACAAAAATTA